ACTTGACACAAGCTAGGGCCATGAGATTGGAGGGAGCTTCCGTGAGCAAAAGTCTCCATAAGAACAGGCCATAGCTCTTTCATGACTCAATCTTTGTGGCGGCATCCATGAGTTGGGCGTTTTTTGTCTGGGCCCAGGAACAATACAACCTCGAGGTGACTAGGCAGGAGACAGTCACCCAAATGAAAGCCCACCGCTGGAGGATGAGGCCACCCTTGGCCAGTGTGGCACAGAAGCCTGGACCACTCTGGAAGGAGCTGGCTGAATGCTGGGAGATGGAGTTCCTGGTTCCCTGGCTTATGCTGGAGAAGTGAGAGGTCACACTCCAAGGTGTCCAAACAGGAGGGGACGGGGAGGAAGAGGAGGAAGAGAAGATGGGGGACACAATGAAAAAAATGGCAACAGGCTGGGCCGAGTGGCGAACCAGTGCCACCAGTACATCAGTACAACCATCACCGCCAATGCCATGCCCGCTTTTGGCAAGAAGGGCCCAATGCTAACTCCTAAGTCCTGTTGTGATCCTGGCACTCTCATGAAGCCACTTTGCCCGGGGCAGGTTGCGGGAGTGGGGGGGGATAGTAAGAAAGAAGGAAAGAGAGAGAGAGAGAGAGAGAGAGAGAGAGAGAGAGAGAGAGAGAGAGAGAGAAAGAGAGAGAAAGAGAGAGAAAGAGAGAGAAAGAGAAAGAGAGAGAGAACAGAACAAATGGGCCATAAACAGGCCTGTAGGCATTTTCTTAATTAGTGATGGATGGGGAGGGCCCATGTCATTGTGGGTGGTAGCGGTCCTGGGTTCTGTAAGAAAGCAGGCTGAGCAAGCCATGAGGAGTGAGGAAGCCTATAAGTAAGCAGCCACCCCTCCATGGCCTCTGCATCATTTCTTGCCTCCAGGTTCCTGCCCTGCTTGAGTTCCTGTCCTGACTTTCTTCAGTGATGGACTAAGATATGGAAGTGTAAGCCAAATAAACCCTTCCTCACCAGCTTGCTTTAGTGGTGGCACACACCTTCAATCCCAGTACTTGGGAGGCAGAGGCAGGCAGAGCTCCATGAGTTTGAGGCCGGCCTGGTCTACAGAGCCAGTTCCAGGACAGCCAGGATCAGACAGAGAAACCCTGTCTTGGAAAACCAAAGTAAATAAATGAAGTAAAGTAAAAACCCTAACTAAGACAGCCAATAGGGAAAAGTTAGGGAGCAGCTTCTGAAACTGCTCAGACGAAAGCTTTCGTTTTTAAATTGTTAAGCTGTCCTTGTGTTTGGGTGGCACAGTCAAGAGTTGAGACTCTTTAGAAAGAATGTTGTACATTTTAATTGGGTGTGTGGAAACAGTGAGTTTGGCTTTCTTCTCTATACGTTTTATTGGTTCATCCAAGAAGCAGATGTGTTATTTCTCTTCCTCGTCGTTAAGCTGCCATTCAGGAATCCTAACCATCACTGAAGTGAGGCACAGTCGGTGGTTTTCGGCACGTAGATAGAGCACGTAACTGAGGAGCTCAGAGTCACCAGTAATTTGTCGGCACTGCAGGGAGATCAAAGCACTCCCCTTGGTGTGTCTAACCATGACCGAGCCCAGATCTGAATTCTCTGCTCCACTTTCCCTAGGCCTTCTATCGTCTGTCTGTTGTCTGTCTGTCTGTTCCTGCCTGAAGGCGACATGTGAATCAGTCACTGTGTATGTGTGTCTGTCTAGGTCTGTGTATGTCTGTCTGGATGTGTCTGTCCCTAATAAGGACTTTGCTCTGCATTTGTTGAACCGCACAGAAAACACCACATGAGGGATACTTGACAGAAGTTCACAGGGATGAAGTCACTGACTGCAGCTGACCCCATATATCACAGACATCCATTGAAAAGGCTGCTTGCTGTTTCCAGCAAATGATTGTCATGACACACATACATGGCTCTGAGTCAGGGCATGGAATGGTTCATATCCGAGATCACAGCTGTGCATTAGCTTAGGTTGTAAACATTGATTACACGGGAAATCCAAGGCGATAGGTTGATTGTAACAGCTCTTTTAGGAGCCGACTACAGAAACAGGCCGGGCACACAGTAGGACGGCAGTCTTGAGTGGCCTTCGGGTGCATTATTAACCCTGTCTGAGGTCCAGCGGATGTTCCAGTCTGTTAGAGTGCAGACGATGTTTTCATGATGTTGCATCACCACAGCAGGGTTAGACTCAGTGAGTAATCCAACCCCCGTGGAACTGAGTCAGCTTTGTTAGATTTTCTTTTCTTTGTTTAAATAAAGTACAACCATAGTTGATCTAGATGACATTGGATGGCTAGTTACTGTCAAATGAAGCTAACCAGGCTTAACAGTCCCTGTGTAAGATGCGCAAGTAAACTAGTTCTGGATAAATGTGGTGTTCTGAGACAATGACAACAGGCACATGGAACCCAGTTAACAGACTGTAAAGTTAATCCTGCTTTAAAGCTGCCGGGGCATAATGGGGTTGTACTTTCTTACACCAGCAGCACTAACAATGGAAGATGAGAAAAAAAAAAAAAAACAACTTCAGAGCTCAGACTCTTAAACAGCTCAAGTGCAGACGTGGATTGCAAGTGTGTCTATGTCTGTATGCTTGCATATGTGTGTGTTTGCATGCGTGTGTGTGTGTGTGTGTGTGTGTGTGTGTGTGTGTGTGTGTTTGCATGCATGCGTGTGTATGTGTGCATTTGTGTGTGTGCAAGTGTGTGTATGTCTATGTGCTTGCATGTGTGTGTTTGCTTGCATGCGTGTTTATGTGTGCATTTGTGTGTGTGCAAGTGTGTGTATGTCTGTGTGCTTGCATATATGTGTGTCTCTGTGCATGTATGTGTATATGTGGATGTGTGTGCATTTGTGTGTGTGCATTTGTGTGTATGTACATTTTTAAGTGTCTTATATGTATTGAAATGAAAATTATGGGAATTTCCCCCAAAATTGAGTGTCCAAAGGTACCATTTGCCAGTTGTGAAACTATTTATAAAAGTGTAAAACAACCGGACTGGGAAGATGACTCAGCAGTTAAAAATGCTCCCACAGAGGACTTGGGCGTGGTTCCTAGCACACACTTAATGGCTCACAACCACCAGTAGCTCCAGTTCCAGGAAATCAACACCATCTTCTAACCTCTGTGGGCATCTCCATGTAGATGGTTCACATAAGTTTATTCAGGCACACATAAAGGCAAATAAATAATAACAAAAATTTAAGTACTAAGACCCTTGTTTTATTTTCTGGTTTAGTAGGATACAATAAATTTCTGAGGTTTCATGATTTCCTTTTGGTTTGATTTGGGGTGGTTTGTTTGTTTGTTTGTTTGTTTGTTGGCTTGTTGGCTTGTTGGCTGTGCTAGGTAGAGAACCCAGGGCTCTAGGCCCTGTGAATGCTACAAGCATTTTACCACTGAGCTACATGCCCAGGCTATTATTTTTAAATAGAATAATTTAGCCTTGGTTTATAATGGTCATTTAGCAGAAGGGTTCTATCTCTTTCTTTGTTTTTTGAGATGGGGTCTGGCTGAATCGCTAGGATTATACCAACGTGCCACCAAAGTTGGCTGGGTAGAATTTTAAGATGAGGTTAGGTGCTTTCAACGGGTTAATACAAGCCTAATATGAAACTTTATAACTTAAATCTTAGAAGGTAAACAGTTAAAATGTAAAAGCTGGTCCCAGCAAACATGAAACGGGGACCATGTTCAGCACCCGTGGGTGTTCCCCACAACCCACCCGAGGCCTCCACACTGCACATCATCCCTTTTGTTCTGCATAGGACTTAAAATATAATCGGTCGCACAACTTTTGAATTTAAACTGAATTAATGGAGTTTGGGTTTTTGTTTTCCAATAAAAATCACAAAAGGTTTTTCTGATATGTAGGGGTTCTCAAGAAAATTTGAAAGATTTCTGGCAAAGTTAATGACATTTATTTAAGGAAGGCTTAGTAGAATGGAAATTTGAATAAATGAAACCAAGGAAATTCCTGACTTCTTATTAAAGGAGATAAAGCGTTTGACAAGTTTAACAGATTGAGAATCTTTTTTATTCTTTGCTTTTTGTACCCATGATGCATTTGCAAGTACATTACTTATTTGCTGAATCACATAGATAAGTAGTTTTAACTTGAAAATGTACTGTCATGGAATGGATTCTTATTGATGGTATGGAGGCTCTTCAGACCCACATTCAGGGTGTTGTGTGTTGCCAACAGATGGCCTGCCTGCCCTAGTATGGCCAGATAAATTATTTCCAGGAAGGTTGGCTTTATCATGGTTTAAAAAGCCACTGAAGCACTGGTCCCCACACCTTTAATCCCAGCACTCGGGAGGCAGAGGCAGGCGGATCTCTGTGAGTTCTAGGCCAGCCTGATCTACAGAGTGAGTTCCAGGAAAGCCAGGACTGCCTGGAAAAACAAAACAAAAGTTAAAAGAATAAACATGAGAAACTGATGTCTGATCTTTGTTGACTGTTCTGTTTGCTAAAGTCAGCCTTTGAAGATGACGCAAATAAGGAGCAGCTTCCTGTCGGTGATTAGCCAAAACTACTGTGTTAATAATTCAATTAATACAAGTGTGTGGCGCATGCCTTTTTGGTCTCACTCCATAGCTACCTGGCTTTGAACTCATGCTTCTCACACCTCTGCTTCTTCAGCTTCTCTTACTGGTGTGGGCCACCACAATCTGCGTGGTGCACGCCTTTACTCCTAGCTCAAGAAGCAGAGGCAGGGGGATCTCTGTGAGTGGAAATCCAGCCTGGTCTCCACACTGAGTTCCATGACAGCCCAGACTACATAGTGAGGCCCTGTCTCAAAAAATTTTTTCCAGTTGATTTGAATGAACCTTACAATATTTCAAATTTAGGCAAGACCACTTGCAAATAAATTGTTTTAAACTAGTTTTGGTGTTTACATACTTTACCAAGTATGGTAAATAATTTAACTATAGTTATTTTTTAAACTCAAAGGGAATGTGGCAGAGACAAAGAGTAACAATGTTGTACTTTCCACCTTTTCACTTTGAAGATAAAGATACAGATGTGAGCGGGAAGGAGAATATGGATGAATTTGGTCTGCAAGACACCTTGAACACTGAATCAGCAGATCTCTTTGCTTCGGTAGCAGAGGTAAGATATGGTCAATGTTCATGGGGAGGTAGTTTTACCATTGCACTGCAATTCAGCTCAGTTGCCGTGTGTGTGTGTGTGTGTGTGTGTGTGTGTGTGTGTGTGTGTGTGTGTGTGTGTGTTGCCTACAAATATGTCTCTGCATCACATATGTGCCTGGTGCCCACAGAGGCCAGGTGAGGGCATCAGATGCCCTGGAACTGAAGTCACAGATGGTTTTTAACTACTATATGGTTGCTGGGAGTTGAACCCAGAACCACTGCAAGAGCAGCCAGTGCTCACAACCACCAGGCCGTCTCTCTCACCCTGCCTGATGTCATCTTATTTTTCACTTTTGCTTGAGACAGGGTTTTTGCTTTATAGCCCATTCTGGCCTCAAACCCACAATTCTCCTTCCTTACCCTCCTGAGACTGGAATTAGGTATGTAACCTAACAACATTTTCTTTCTTGAGTCTGGAGAGATCACTCAGCAGTTAAGAGCACTGGCTGCTTGCTCCAAACACTCAGATTCTATTCCCAGCATTCACATGGGCCCACATCCTTAGAAAGTTTGAGGTCAGCCTGAGATAGTAAAATTCTGTCTCATAACAACCAACCAAATATATATCTTTATGGAGATACCATAAAATATACTCTAGTCCCAAGGAATTCAACACCCTCTTCTGGCCTCTGTGGGTACCAGGCACACACATGATGCACATGTAGGCAGAATTCCCAAATACAATACAATTTCAGAATATTTTCTTTAAACTGCTTTCTAATATATAACTTGAAAATACTTTTTAGTTTGGAAACATGTTGGTGTTATAATGCCTTCACACCACACACCAGGTGCTGGGCCAGAGCTTACCACACAGAGAACATCTCTTCAGGTGTTCATCAGATGCACTTGAATTTACTGTTTAGATTACAAAGGTTTAATACATTTTAACTTCTCATAGGAAAGAATGCATGAATATATATAAGAAGGATTCAGTAATCAAGAACTATTTAAGCATTGCTTCTAAGGTATAAATGTATGAACTCAGAATATGCTACAAGATAAATTCTTTTGTAAGAAATGTAGCTGGGCATGATGGTACTCACCTTTAACCCCAGTACTCTGAGAGGCAGGTAAATTTCGTAGTTTGATGCCAGCCTGGTCTACAGATGGAGTTCCAGGCCAGAGATACATAGTGAGATCCTGCTTCAGGAGAAGGAAAAAGGGAAGAAAGAAAGAGACAATGAAAGAAGGGTGGATCAGAATCCTGAGGAGTTAAACAGTGTGTGATAACTTGATATCTTTATTCAGAATTAATCGATTTTTTTGCCTGTTTAGAATAAAACAATTACTGCACTAAGCTTCTCTATAAACTAGGCCAATCATTTGACAAATGATTGACAAAAATCTCCTGTATGTAAGCTTTGCTGCACATTGATTTAGCTTGTTTCCAAGGACAGCTCAAGATTCTTCTCTCTCTCTTTTTTTTTAAAGTGTTTAAGGTTTTATTGAACCCGTCACATATTTGTACTTTACATAATTGACAAAAATTGAATTCTCTCATGGGAAAACACCTACCTATATTTGCAACCACTCAGAACTCGATACAAACACCACGCCTGTGGGTGTGCTCGTCTGAAGGGACAGAGGAACCTGTGGTCAGGCATGCATGAGACAGCAACCCAGGAAGCATCCTTTCCGGTTCACTCTGGGCCGAGGTGGCAGCCTGCGCAGGCCATCCTTTCCTGGGAACTACGGGAAAGTGGCTTTTGCTTGTCTGCTTCCCTAACGCAACATCACTGACTTGAACCTGAGTTTTTGCTGGCGCTTTGGCTGATGGTGCCTATTTGTATTTGTTTTTGTTTTTGTTTTTTGTTTGTTTTTCACTTTTTTATTTATTTTTCTATTATCAGCTTGATATAGTATAAATTCTTATCCTAATTGTGAAAGGTTTCATTGAGGCTTGCCCAGTAATTGAGTAAACTCAAAACTTACTATAAGTCACAGTCATCCTAGGGTCCGCCCTGCTATATAGCCTCCCTGGTTCTGTGGGTTGCAGTCTGATTGTTCTTTGCTTTATATCTAGAATCCACTTATGAGTGAGTACCTACCATGTTTGTCCTTCTGGGTTTGGGTTACCTCACTCAGGATGGTTTTTTCTAGTTTCATCCTTTTGCCTGCAGATTTCATGCTGTCATTGTTTTTCTCTGCTGAGTAGTACTCCATTGTGTGTATGTACCACATTTTCTTAATTCATTCTTCAGTTGACGGGCATCTAGGTTGTTTCTAGGTTCTGGCTATTACAAATAGTGCTGCTATGAACATAGTTGAGCATGTATCTTTGTGGTATGATTGAGCATTCCTTGGGTATATGCCCAAGAGTGGTATGGCTGGGTCTTGAGGTAGGTTTTCTGAGAAACCATCATACTGATTTCCACAGTGGTTGTACAAGTTTGCATTCCCACCAGCAGTGGAGGAGTGTTCCCTTTGCTCTGCATCCTCTCCAACATAGACTGTCATTAGTGTTTTTGATCATAGCCATTCTGACAGGTGTAAGGTGGTATTTCAGTCATTTTGATTTGCATTTCTCTGATGATTAAGGATGTTGAGCATTTCTTTAACTGTCTTTCAGCCATTTGTGATTCTTCTTTTGAGAATTCTCTGTTTAGCTCTTCAGCCCATTTTTTAAATTGGATTGTTCAGTGTTTTAATGTCTAGTTTCTTGAGTTCTTTATATACTTTGGAGATCAGCCCTCTGTCAGATGTGGGGTTGGTGAAGGTCTTTTCCCACTCTGTAGGCTGTCTTTTTGTCTTATTGACTGTGTCTTTTGCCCTACAAAAGCTCCTCAATTTCAAGAGGTCCCATTTATTAATTGTTGTGCTCAGTGTCTGTGCTGCTGGTGTTATATTTAGAAAGTGATCTCCTGTGCCAATGCGTTCAAGAGTACTTCCTACTTTCTCTTCTATTATGTTTAGTATAACTGGATTTATGTTTAGGTCTTTGATCCACTTGGACTTGAGTTTTGTGCATGGTGACAGATATGGATTTATTTGTAATCTTTTACATATTGACATCCAGTTATGCCAGCACCATTTGTTGAAGATACTTTCTTTTTTCCATTGTATAGTTTTGGCTTCTTTGTCAAAAATCAGGTGTTCATATGTGTGTGGGTTAATGTCAGGGTCTTCAATTCAATTCCATTGGTCTGTATGTCAGTTTTTATACCAGTACCAAGCTGTTTTTATTGCTATAGCTCTATAGTAGAGCTTGAGGTCAGGGATGGTGATGCCTCCAGAGGTTGCTTTATTATACAGGATTCTTTGAGCTATCCTGGGTCTTTTGTTTTTCCATATGAAGTTGAGTATTTTTCTTTCCAAGTCTGTGAAGAATTGTGTGGGGATTTTGATGGGGATTACATTGAATCTGTAGATTACTTTTGGTAAGATTGCCATTTTTACTATGTTAATTCTACCTATCTTTTTATCATTTGTGTATAGGAGGGCTACTTATTTTTTTGAGTTGATCTTGTATCCTGCCACTTTACTGAAGGAGTTTATCAGCTGTAGGAGTTCCCTGGTAGAATTTTTGGGGTCAGTGATGTATACTATCATATCATCTGCAAATACTGAAAGTTTGACTTCTTCCTTTCCAATTTGTATCCCTTTGATCTCCTTTTGTTGTCTTATTGCTCTGGCTAGAACTAGTATTATATTGAATAAATATGGGGAGAGTGGACAGCCTTGTCTTGTTTCTGATTTTAATGGAATTGCTTTGAGTTTCTCTCCATTTAATTTGATGTTGGCTGTTGGCTTGCTGTAAATTGCCTTTATTATGTTTAGGAATGTTCCTTGTATTCCTGATC